CCTCGGCGGGAACCATCGAGGAGCATCTTGGAGCATTTTGCGAACAACCTACACGCACGAAATCGAAAAATGCACGGGGAATGGACGTCCGAGAGATGGCGAGCTTGGGGGCCTCTGTGGCTACTTGGAGCCGTCTTGGAACGGTATTTTGACCTCTTGTACGCATTTTGGCAGCTACCTCGGGCCATCTTGGGCTGAATTCTCTCGTCTCGGAGGCCACTTGCGAGCATCTCGGCCATCTCTTGGAGTCACAAGTCGGGCCTGTCCCTCTACAGAAGGAATATTCAAAGATAGTCACACAATAGACTGGGAACGATTTTCCCCTCATGTTCGGTTATCTTTGAGTATTTGTTTTTGGTATGCTTTATTCTTCCAAAATTCGCATGCAGGGTGACGTGCCCGATCTGAGAATAGGGGGTGGCGCGGATGAGCACTGCTCGTCTGAAGCAGGCACACTCACCTCTTGGACTGGTGCGCTTGAAGTGGTCTTAAGACTGGTCTGGGCCCCTCCTGCGGCCCTCTTCCTCCGCCGCCTCCTCCTCTTCTTCTCCCTCCTCGTTCTCCCTCCTCCTCCTCCTCCCTTCTCCTTCTGCTCCTCCTCCTCCTCCTCATTATCATTATCATCCTCTTTCTCCCTCCTCCTCTTTCTCCCTCCTCCTCCTCCTCCTCCTCCTTCCCCTCCTCGTCCTCCACCTTCTCCTCCACCTCCTCCTCCTCCTTCCTCGTCCTTCTCCTCCTCATCCTTCTTCTCCTTCTCCTCCTCCTCCTCCTCCTTCCCCCTCCTCCTCCTCCCCCTCCTCCTCCTCCTCCTCCTCCTCCTCCTCCTCATCCTTGTGCCCCTCTTGCGGCTCTCTTCTCTTGGGCGATCATGGGGCCATCTTGAGGCCTCGGAGGCACCTCGAAAGTGAAAAGCGAGGAGTCAAGACATTGAACGACAATGGGTTTTTGGATGGTTCGGGCACTTGGCAGGTGGCACTGTTGGCGTGGCCACTTGGAACTGCCGTGGGGCCGCTTTGGGGCATGCTGTAGGCCATCTTCGACAATCTCGCGCCATCTCTGAAGCCATCCTGGGTCATCTTGGAGCCATCTAGGCCCCAAAAAGCCTCCCAGGGTGCCACCGAGACGTCCAAACCATTGAAACGACAAAGGTTTTCAATGATTAATGTTGGCTCCCCGATCAATCTGCCTCGCTCCGTCAGAGCAAGGCAATTCGAGTATTGGTGCGCCATCGGGGCCGCCTTAGAGCCCTCCAGGGCCTCTTCTTCTGGGTATTGGTAGAGCCATTTTGAAACTTGAGCCCCTCTACACACAAAGCGGATGCCAAAGTGCGAGCAGCCAACCACACTTCATGATCTTGCCGACGCACCCAACCACATGCAGGTGTGACTACTGCACTGCAGGTGCGACGACGGAAGGGGCGCTCCCTACGAGGCCACGACACGTGTGAAGAATCTGCCAAAACGCAGTCAGTCCGCATAGAACGGATGGGCGACTTTTCCAAGGGTACCCTTGCCTCCTCGGTCCATCCCTGGCCACTTTCGTTGGCCGCGTTCCGCTCGAAAAGCTTTGAAATGGGCGCGCATCCTTACGACACGGGTCCACTGCAGGGCGGTGCCGCCATGCGGGTGTTGCTGCTCGGGCCTCTCGTGAAGCCCCCTCTGGGGCCACGGAGCGCGTAACAGCGCGTGGGGGGTATGTGTCGAAGGGGGGCGGTGCCGTCACACGGGCGCTGCCATCAGGGCCCTGGGTGGAGTTTCCTTTATGTGGCCACGAACCTTGCCAGGAAGGAAGGAATACGCGGGGTGTCCAGCATGCACGTGAGCAACAGGGGTAAGGCCAGCACAGCGAGCCAGGGGTGTGCCGAAATGCGGCGGTGCCGCCCTGCGGGGGCTGTCCGTGGGGCCTATGGTGGAACCCCTTGCGGGCGGAGCTCCGTGTGAGGAACTGGCGCGTGGGGAGTTTGCCAAGCTGGGGCGGTGCCGCCATGCGGGCGCTGCCATTGGGGCCTCTGGTGCTCCCTATGGGCCGGTGTCGCCGTGCGGGCGCCGAGGCTGGATGGGGCCGCGGAGCGTGTGAGGGGTGTGACACATTGGGGCGTTGTCGCCCTGCGGGCGCTGCCGCTGGGGCCTTCGGTGGAGCCCCCATACGGGGCCACGAGACGTGTGAGGGGTGTGCCGAAATGTGGCGGTGCGGGCGCTGCCGCTGGCGCCTTCGGCGGAGCCCTCCTGTGGGGCCACGAAACCTGTGAGGGTTGTGCCAAACTGGGGCGATGCCAGCATGCGGGCGCTGCCGTTGGGGCCTTCTGTGAAGGCCCACATGGGGCCGCGAGAGGTGTGAGGAGTGGGCCAAGTTGGAGCGGTGCCGCCATGCGGGCGCTGCCGCCAGGGCCTTCGGTGGAGCCCCCATACGGGGCCACGAAACGTGTGATGGGATATGCCACATTGGGGCGGTCCCGCCATGCAGGCGTTACCGCTGGGGCCTTCGGTGAAGCCCCCTTTGTGGGGCCGCGAAGCGTGCCAGGCGTGTGCCGAAATGGGGCGGTGCCGCCATGCGAGTGCTGCCACTGGAGCCACGAAACGTGCGAGGAGTGCACCGAATTGGGGCGTTGCCGCCATGCTGGCGCTGCCAGTGGGTCCTGTCGGTGGAGCTCCTCGTGTGACCGCGAAGCGCGCGAGTGGTGTGCCGAATTGGGGTGTTGCCGCCATGCGGGCGCTGCAGTCAACCCGCGTAATAAGGATGGGCATCCTTCCCAAGGGTACCCCTGCATCCTTGCCTCCTCGGTCCATCCTTGGCCACTTTCGTTGACCGCGCCCCGCTCGAAAAGCTTCAGAATGGGCGTCCGAGGCCCTTGCCTCTTCATCGCGCATCCTTGCGGCACGGGTCCGCTGTGGGTCGGTGCCGCCGTGCGGGCGGGCGCTGCCGCTGGAGCCCCTCGTCGAGCCCCCTTTCTGGGGTTAAGTCGGGCCTGTCCCTCCACAGGGGGAATGTTCAAAAATAGTCAACAAATAGTCTGGGGACTATTTTTTGATTATTTGTTTACCATTCTGGAGTATTTTTTGGGGTATGTTTTATTTTTCGTCGAAGATCCCCCTGTAGGGGGACACGCCCGACTTAATTCTGGGGCCACGGAGCGTGCGAGGGACCCTTCGGTGGAGCCTCCTCATGTCAGGCAGTGGCGAAGCGTCCTGGCGTGCCTGTAGTCCTACCAAACAATGTTCTAAGAACTTTTTGTGGTTCCCACAGCATGTTCTTGGAACATTTCTGGCTGGGGCTGTCTTGTTTTATCAATTCTGGTTAACATTCTAAGAACATTGTTTCTGTTCTTAGAACACCTTTGGGTTCTACGAACATGTCGTGGTAGGACTAGAGGAATGCCAGGACGGTCGGTCCCTGCTCAATCCTGGGAGCACGAAGCGTGTGAGGGGTGTGCCAAATCGGGGCGTCGCTGCCATGCGGGCGCTGCCGCTGGGGCCTCGTGCTGGAGGTGCCCGCAGGACGTGCCAGGAGTGGGCCGAACGGGGGCGGTGCCGCCGCATAAGGGGGCGGGGACGCCGCCACCGGGGTCTTTGCGGTTGTGCTCCTCATCGGCGGAGCTCTCCCTTGGGGCCACGAAGCGCGTGAGGGGCCAGTGGCATGCCGAAATTCGAGGACGCAGAAACGTCACAACCATGGACTTGTGGCGCTCCGCGCGGACTTCGTGGATCGGCGCCTGCTCCCCCCCCCCCTGCGGCGCCTCTGGCGCCGCCCCTGGCGCGCTCCCGAAATTTATGTTTATGGCGCTGTTTAGGGCTTCTGGCGCCGCCCCTGGCAGATCCAAGAAATCCGCGCGGAGCGCCAGAAGTTTCTGTTTATGGCGCTATGTTCTTCTTCTCGAAAAAAGAGCGTGTCGCCATGCGATTTCTGCCACTGGGGCTTTCGGCTAAGCCTATGGGGCCTCGAGGTGTGTGTGGGGTGTGCCAAGACGGGGCTGTGCAGCCACGCGAACTTTGCCATTGTGGCCTTCGACGGAGCTCCCCATGTGGACATGTCGAAAGCAGACATGTCGAAAGGGACATGTCGAAAGCAGTGGCAAGGGGAGGAGCCAGGGAGGGGCCAGCGGGAGGAGTGGACGCGGGGCGCTGCCTGTTCAAAACATGGACCCAGCAACACGGGATGGTTCGGAAAACACAAGTATTCTCAAACAAACAGATTGGGGACATCCTTGGGAGGCTCCGTGACCACTTAGAGCGGTCTTGGGGCTTCTTGAATGCGATTGGAAGCCATCCTGGGCTATCGTGTATCTTGGAGGCTATCTTGGGCTATCAGTGGCTGTCTTTGCGCCATATCTTTCGAGTGACCCTCTGGCACCTCGGGCTCCGGGTATCGAAGCTTCCAAGGATATCTTGGGGCCTCTTGGGAACCCCACGAAGGCTTCTTGCGCTTCGTCGTTGTTGCGGGATTCCGGGGGTCTCTCTGGCCCGTCGGGACCGTTTTCGGGTTGGAGAGGTCCATTTGCATTGCAAAGGCGATACGGCCGAACTCCATAATACACATGTGCATTATGTATGTTTGGTCCCCTGTAGTTTGAGCATCCTAGTGATTTACGAAGGGAGCTTCTTCGTCGCATTGGAAGTCCAACTGGCTGTCTTCAACTACCATGGTACATCTTGGACCACCTTGTGGCTTCTAGAGGCCATGAGGGGGCCATCTTAGAGCCTACTTGTATCATTGTTTTGCCTTGGGGCAATATTGGAGGAACAGTCGACCCACAGAGGGGCCTGGCCACCATTGACCTTCACTCCGTGTTTGCTTCGAGTTCAACCGGGGCCCTGAGGCGGTTTGGCACGTGCGCGCGAGCTAGATACATGCCAGTAACCACAGTATTGGATTAACAGGATCAACCTGATTGCTTTATCTAGCGCGCCTCTGACCCGTTGGGTTGGCAGATACTTTTTTGTGCGCGAGCTATTACAGCACCTGTGGGCACACATGAGTCATGTGTGAATATCGTCCGCTGGAGGGTGAATGGCCCACGGCGGACCCTGGTGCTTTGATCCATGCGACGTCAGCTGCGGTATCGCTCCTGTTCCCCTATCCAGTGGCCTGCGGCAAACCGCGCCGACGTGCCAGTGCAGCATTGAAACTCATGCAGCATGGTTATATCGAGCTCCCCCAAAAACGCTGTAGTGGGGATGCCCGGGAAGAAGTGCGACGATGCTGCAATGCTGCGAGACAGCATTATTGCCTTGCTGTTGCGTCACTCGCTTGGTGCTTCTTGGAGGCTTACTGGAGGCTTCTTCGGGACATGTTGAAGGTCTCTTTTGGGGCCTCGGTCGCTCTTCTCAGAAACATGTTTGGAGGCCCGTTGGGCGCATTCGGGTCTTGTTTGATGCGCCGGAGAGGCTCGGTGGAATTGTATCGGGGCCGATTGGACGGCTTCGTTGGTCATCTCGGAGTCTTCTTGGAGAAGCCTCAGGCCATCTTTGCACGTTCTCGGGGTGTCTTGGGGCTCTCTTCGGGGCATCTTGGGGACCTCTTGGAGCCTCTGGCACCGTTTGGCGGCTCCTCATGTTGTTGTCATGCGCCCATCTTAGACCGAGAAGCGTGTGTACGGTACGGGGGAACGGTCTTCTGGCGGTGTTTGGTCGTCTTGGAATTGCTCTGGGGCTGGTATTAGCGTTGTGTAGCAAGATGTAGAGAAGTCTGTTTTGTTGAAGCATGCGAGCTGATAGGAGCTTGGAAAGATGCGAACCTCACCATACAGCTGACAGGCAATGCTTCTCTTATCACACGCCTCAAAGTGCCGAGGGCATCAATGGGAACACTGCTCTTCATACTCGTTATTTACGTGGACCTCAGTAGGGATTGTCTTGGCCAGGCGAACACTAATCAAACAGAGGCTCTCACTGAGGCTTCCCCTGGCCTTCCCGACCACTTGCACTAAGATCCCCCACGGTCTGATTTCCCCGACGTCTTGGCCCCAAGAAGCCTGTCGATGTTGTGGGACTCGGCTATGGATGCTCGCCTCCAAACTTGCGGCTCGCAGGTTTGATATTTGTTTGTTTTTGATCGAATTGATGGATTTTGGGCGGGCCTTCGTCTTTAGGAAAGTGTTGGGGCCTACAGGATTTGCGGATGGGTCTGGCACGCTGGGAAGGTTACGTTCGCCGACGCCTTCGTTGTTTGAGTTTTCGTTAGCCGCTCGCAGCCCCAGACGCCGGGGCTTGCCGTGGCAGCTCTGGCTGGTGAATGGCTTGGGCTTGGCTTGTCCAAGCACGCAGGGGTGGGGAGCATCGGGAGTACTGAGGTCGTCTCGCCTCCGAACCCCAGTCCTTGCCATCCGAGTTGTTCGCCTTCCCTCGTCGAGCATTAATACCGCGATGAGGACGGGGCTTAACTTAGGTCTCCGTCTTCGAATTGGGGAGAGTCGATCTGGGCGGTTTGGTGTGATACATCTGCAGGGAAGACCCTTTTTGCCTAATTGTTCTGGCCCTCCTTACTTTCGGCAGCGAGCGAGGGGGGGAAGTGAGACGGAGTAGGCCCTCTCAGAAGGCGTCGGGACTTCTCAGAAGCCCTCGCGCCTCCTGAGAAGTTCTTCATGTCTTCGGGGAAGGCTCAGAAAGCTTCTCAGAAGGCCGGGCACCTCTGAGCCTTCTGAAAAGGCCTTCTCCTTCTCCTTTTCCCCCTCGCTCGTCGTCAAAACTTCGGCCCTCTCCCAGAGGGCAGGAAAGAACCCCTAACCCTAACAACACGATGAAGACGTGGCCTCCCTGAGGTCCCCGTCCTCGCGTTAGGGATCAGAGATCTGGGCGGTTGGGTTCGATACATCAACAGAAGAGACCCCTTTGTCACTAATGTTGTTTGGCCCTCCTAGCTCGGGCCCCCTCCCAGAGGATCCTGCAGAGCCAGAGAGCTGCACCGGCCCAGGCTTGGGTGCAGGATCCTGCAGGATCTGGTATAGGATCCTTCAAGGCCCGATCGACCCGGGTCTGGATTGGCCCGGGCTTGTAGGTCCCCGAGGAGGAGGGATTCTCAGATGGCCGGGGCGCCTCCGAGCCTTCTGAGAAGGCCTCCTCCTCCTCCTTCCCCCCTCGCTCGTCGTCAAAGCTCGGGCAGTGTGCGTGGTGCAAGAAGTTCTGTTCGCGACGACTTGGGGAACCCACTGCTCACGCAACCACCCCACCGACCCACCCGCACCGTCCCGCCCAGCCACCCGCACTTTGGTCTGCAGAACCCATGCGGCGGCGACTGCGATGAGTCCTTGGTGCGAAGGATTGCAAAAAAACCCTCCTGAACGAAGAGTTGTTTTGCAATCCTGGGTTTTTTTTTGCAATCCTTCGAACGATGTGTTTTTTTTGCAATCCTTCGTGCAGGTGCGCCCCCTCCCGAGGGGTTGGGGGCTCCCCTCCTCCCTGCGCCCTCCGCGCCACGGCCTCCGGCCCTCCCTGTGGCCTCACCCCGCTCGGCGGCTCGCCCGCGCGTGGCCCCTCCCCACCGGAGGGGGCGGAGGACGGGGGGGGGCCCACGTGTGGTGAGAGCCCCCCTCTGATGGGTTTCCTCGAAGGGCTTTGGCGACCTCTCCTCCTCCTCCTCCTCCTCCTCCTCTTCCTCCTTCTCCTCCGTCTCCTCCTCCTCCTCCTCCTCTTCCTCCTCCCTCTCCATCTCCATCTCCTCCCCCTCCCCCTTCTCCCCCTCCTCCTCCACCTTCTCCACCTCCTCCTCCTCCTCCTCCTCCTTCTCCTCCTCGGGTCGCCTACGGCCACGGGGGAAACCGTGCATGGCCCCTCTGCTTGACTTGGCGCCGCTCGGGCGTGCGCATCAGAGAAGGAAAAGAGGTACCCATACCTCGAGCATGTTCTTTCGGTGGAGGGCAAAGGGTGAAATCTGAAATGCTGTTTCGATTGAGCTTCGAGGTTTGAATCTGCAAATGGTGAATCACAAGACATATTGATTCTCGAAGTGCAAAAGCCCACATGGATTTCACCCTGAGCCCTCCCTAAGAAACTGATCAGATATCGCTGCCCTTCCCCTTGGCTTTCGGATTTTTCGGCCTCCTGGGAGGCCTTCGTCGCCACCGCTAGATTCGCCTCGAAGTTCTGGTCGGACGCACCGCAGGAGAGGTCCGGGGAGTAGCGATATCGGTACCTTTTGGTTTCCCCAGTGCATCTTTTCCCGGCGAGGACTATCGAGGAGCACCCAGGAGCATCGAGCGAGAAAACACGCATGCACGGGTAAGGGAGGTCTTCGGACGGGGCTGGGACGAGGGCAAGTCCGCTCCAGAGCGTTCCGGAACGCTCTCACAGCTTTCCGGAACACTCTGAGAAGGCCGCGGGGCCCGAGACATTTTCCATCGGGTTGTGACCCAAAAGGAGGTCAAGCGACAAGGTGGTGGTGCAATAGATTTGGTGCAATAGATTTGTTGGTTGTAATAGATTTGGGGCGTGCAATGCATTCCGGGGCGAAAGCGTATTGCTGGGTTTTCGCGTGCAATGCATTAGTTGCCATACGATGCAATCCAATTCTCGGGCGCAATACATGTCGCCCCAAATCTATTACACCACCCCGTTTTAGCTGGACCCTCTTTTGGGTCAACCGAACTCCAGAGCCGCGGGATCTCGGAGATTCTCGATAAGTCCTCACCCGAATTTATCCTTGTCCTGGCTTCGTCTCACTCATGAGTGGAGACAAAACACACAGACACAAGTAATCGTCGATTCCCAGGAAAGCATGGGAAAACATGGACAGTGGAGGGGAAGACTCCAAAATCTAGAAGATATGACCAAATGCCAGGAAATCTGGGACTTGTGTCTATTTATCTGTGTGTCCCTGGGCCCCTTCACTTGCGCCCGAGCGATGGCAAGGTGTCACCTCTTGCACCCGCGCGGTCGGCCGGGAGGGCGGCGGAAACCTCTCGGGCCGCACGAAAGAGGGGGGGGGGGGGGAAAGTGGAGGTTACGAAATCTACTGCATGCAGCTGGTTTCGGCCCCGCCGCCGGGCCCATTCCTCGATACATGGGCGCCTCCCGGCGCCGGGAGGCGCTGGGAAAATCAGCTGCGTGAGCTGATTCTCTGCTCTACCCTTTGCTTTCCCCCCCTTTCGTTCCCCTCGAGCCTCCGGGGCCAACAGGGCCGCGCGGGCACCTCTTGCTCGGCGGCGGGGCGTGCCGGCGTCTTTGTGGCGGCCTGCGCAACCGGGCGGTGCGCCAGCACACGGAGAGTGGCCACACGTGAGCGACGCAGGCAAGCTCATCGAGCAGGAAGGAACCCTTAACCTTGAAGACCAAAAATCCACATAAACATAAACTTTTGGCGCTCCGCGCGGATTTCTTGGATTCGCGCTGGGCCCTCCTGGTGGCGCCTTCGGCGCCGCCCCTGGCGCGCTCCTCGCGCCAGGGTCCAGCGCGAATCCAAGAAATCCGCGCGGAGCGCCAAAAGTTTATGTTTACGTGGTTTCGTTTTCCTCTCTAACCTTAACGACACGAGGAAGACGTGGCCTCACTGATGTCACCTTTTTCGTGTCTGAGGTAAGAGATCTTGGCTGTTTTGCTCGACATATCAGCAGCAATTACCCCCTATCCCTAATTTTGTGTGGCCCTCCTAACTTGGGTCCCCTTCCAAGGGGTTAAGGGTCCTTGGAAGGTTCCTTAATCAACATGTGAGCGATGCAGGCAAACTGGGCCGTCTGCGCCGACATTTGCGCGTAAGGTGCTCGCGCAAGGATGCGTCTGAGCGCCCTCGCTTCCAGCGTACAGCGTACCGCGCTGGCGGCCGCATGCGCCACCGCGTGGGGTCGCCAGGCCATCTCTCGTGAGGCCCGTTCTTGCTCGTGGCTCATGTGGAAGGGAGGCGGGAGCTCAGAGAGAATCCTATTCGGCGGCCAGCGAGGGGGATGAACACTAGAAGGAGGAGGCCTTCTCAGGAGGCGGCGGGGCTTTCAGAAGGCCTCAGGCCTTCTGAGAGGTCTTGTGGTGTCTTCGGGGAACGCTCCGAAAATTGTTAATAATGCCGGGGGACTTCCGAGCCTTCTGAGAAGGCCGCCCCTTCTCATTTCCCCCCTCCGGCTCGCCGCCGACTCAAAGAGTCAGATGGGGGGAGAGCCGCCCAGATGGCTGCGATGAGCGCAGCGAGGGAAGAGCGAGTCCAGGCGAGGAGAGCCCGGCGTCGGGGCAGTGTCCAAGGGATCATTCCCCTGTGGCAGTGAGGGGCGGCAGAGCGGCGTGTCTGAGGTGTGGTGCAGTCTCCGTGCCGCTGGGCCGTGCAGGCTATGGAGCCAATGGGCAGGGCAGACCACGTGCCGGCCCTGCAGCTCCCGGAATCGGCGTCCTGCCCGCGCGGGGGTCAGGCTCGGCCAGCTTTACTGCAGCGAAGCTCCGTCGACGATTTGGCCTGCTCCCAGCACACGAGGGGGCCAGCTGATCGGCTCCCCAACCTGCAGAGTGCCGAAGAGGGGCACGCCTGCGCACCCAGGGCCTGGGCGATTTCGTCGGCCGTTTTCGTTGCGACTTCGTCTTGCGGCAAAGGCGAATCGAAGACAAAGCGAGGGGAAACGAGAACAAAACGACAACGGAAAACACCGTTTAGGTTCAGCCCTGTCCTCACCCGGGCACGCGATGGTAATCATTCGTTCAACAGTGTAACCATCCTGTTCGGTTTCTTGTCTTTCCTGGGGAAGCGCATGATCGTGAATGTGTCGAGTTGGCTTGCTGCCCTGCGTATTCACTGATCCCCGTCGGTTAGCACAGTCAACCTGTGTCGTAAGGATGCGCGGTAAGGATGCAAGGGCTTTGGAGGGCCACGTTGACGTTCTTCAAACGAGGCGGGCCAGCGAGAGTCGTTGAGGATGGGCCGAAGGGGCAAGGATGCAAGGGTACAGATGGAAAGGTTGCCCCTCCTCACTATGCGGATTGAGCAGTGGAGGCCCATGCCAGGACACACCCTGCTCGCCTCCAGGGTGCCCTGGGTTTCTTGGGCTTCGATGGCTTTGCGATGGAGAGCCGATGGAGAGCGCCGCGTTCCCACACCAGACATCCATGAACATCCTGGGGTTCCAGGGCTGGGCTTCCTGCTTAGGGCTTCTTGTGGACTGGCCCCCACTGGTGTGCGGGCTGGCTGCAGCTGGCGGAGACGGGACCGAGCTGATGGCTGACTTGCTCGTGCGAGCACGCGCAGAATCCCATCACGTCGCAAAACGATGGCAGCGGCGCCCGCACGAGCTCACCTCGCGTGCACACGTGCATCTATCGACAAGGACTCGCGCACACACGTACAGCGGGGGCGCGCATCGAGAAACCATATCCTTTCCGTCAGGGCATCCCGGGTTTCGTCCCTCCGCGCGCTGCGCGGCGACTTCCCGCGGCCGTTGAAGGAGCTGCTGCGTTCAGGGTGCTCCAGGTTTCCCCCGTGGCGCACTTCGCTCGCGGGTTTTCGGGGAGGGGTGTCTTGCTAGGGCTCCTTGCGGCCGCGCCCGCACTGTAGGGTGGACAACCTTCCCAAGGGTAGCCTTGCATCCTTGTCTAGGGGAACAAAACGTGACATTAACATAAAAACTCGGACGTCCGCGCGGATTTCTCGTATCGGCGCTGGGGCCCCCCAGCGGCGCCTCCAGCGCCGCCCCTGGCGCGCTCCGCTGCCAGGGAGGGGGGTCCAGCGCCGATCCGAGAAATACGCGCGGACCTTCGAGTTTTTAAGTTTATGGCACCTTTTGTTCCCCTATTGTCGGGCCGGACGAAAGGGGGGGATTGGGAAAGGGGGGGTTACGAATTCTGCTGCATGCAGCTGATTTCGGCCTCACCGAGGGGCCCATTCCTCGATACATAGCCGCCTCCGGCGCCGGGAGGCGCCGGGAAAATCAGCTGAGTGAGCTGATTCTCAACCCCCCCCTTTGCTATCCCCCCCTCTCGCCCGACCCGATATTGTCCCCCCGCCTTCCTGTGCCCTGTCTCCCTAATTAAAGCTGTGCGTAGCCCGCCCAGCTTTTAGCGGAAGAGGTTCGCTCTCGCCCCGCAGATCAAACCTCGCCCGACCCGACATCGTCCCCTCGGCCCATCCCTGGCGACCTCCGCTGGCCACCCTCGTCCGAGAAACACGTGGGGCACGGCCCTCCGAGGCCCTCTGACATCCCTGCCGCGCCTCCTCGGGGGTGCGGGGCGGCTGCAGCCCGCCTCTGCGCGGATGTGCTTCGTCTCCCCGGGGCCGTCTTTTCGGGGGTGGACAGACCTCCTGCCTTGACACGCCGATTGAGGAGTTGGCCGTTTTCGGTTCGCGAGAGGGCGGCGCGGCCGTCGTTTTTGCGGGTCCAGGTCCGTCGGTTTCGGTCCCAGGCCGTTTTCACCAAGGCGAGGTCTACTGAAGGGAGGTTTGTGGTTTGTCCACCGCCGATCCTTGGGGCATCGGGGGATTCTCCTAGGCCCTCTTAGGGCTCTCTTGGGTCTGTACCGAGCCTCTCGTGGGCCATCGTGGCGCATCTCGCGGCCGTCCTGGGCCGCCTGAGACCTTCGCCACGCCCGCATGGAGCTCGGCCAGCTCTTCCGAGGCCCTCCTGGAGCCAGCCTCAGCCAAGAGGGTTGGGAGCACAAGATATTGTTCAAAAGCTTGCGGGGTTCTTCAGGTTGACCTCTGCATGTTGGCCTTGTCTGAGATCCCCTTGGCTTTGTCCCGGGATCTTGGATGCTTCATGGAGCCCATTCGGTGTCTCTTGGGATCTCCTTGGGAGCTGTCGGACGTTTCCGGAGTAAGTGTTGGGTCGTCTTGGGTGTCGCCGTGTTTTCATATTATTGTCAAGGTTTGACCGCTCGTGCCGCCGACCCTGAAAGACATCGACGACGACCAGGAGGGGGAGGAGGAGGATAAGGAGGAGGAGGAGGAGGAGGAGGCGGAGATACGGAGGAGGAGGAGGAGGAGGAGGAGGAAGAAAAGATTCCCTTCGCCGATCGGCGCGGGCATCCGTCCCCCCCCTCCCCTCCTCATAAGCCAGATCTTGGCTGCTTTTCGCGGCTCGTTCTTTCGGCGTCTGGTCAGGACCCCTCCCCCCAGATTGCCAAGGGCGCCCTCGAGGGCGCGAAGTTATTCGCGCTTCGCGGTTCGGCTCCGATTCCTCATCCTCCTTTGCTCCCTTGGGAGGCGGCGCGAGAGCGCGAAGTTATTCGCGCTTGGTGCTTCGCGCAGCGCGAAGCACGTTGGGAGCCCTTGCAGACTGCTTGCGCGACTGGTAGAAGCAGATCGATCAGAACCAGCCCAGACCCAGCCCCCCCTCGTCCCCCACCTGTCGGCCACATGGCGAAACCCAGAAGAAAAAAAAAAAAAAAAAAAAAAAAAAAAAAAAAAAAAAAAAAAAAAAAAAACGGTCAAGGCCTGGGAGAGCGTCGCGGAGGCCAGCAGGGCTGCCGCACTGACATAGCCGGAGCCCGTCTACCCGGCGATGTTTCAACTTGTACAAATTGCTCGCTGCCGTGTGCAGCCTCAGCGCGAGCTTGGCTTCCCGTGCTTGCCAAGCTCGCGCTCGGTTCCTGACGTGGGTGGCGCGGGGGAGTGTCGGACTGGGCCCCGAGGACGGGTCGAGAGGCGCAGACGGGTCCACCCTGAATGCCAGCGTTAAGTCGGGCCTGTCCCCCTACAGGGGGATTTTCGACGAAAAATGAAACAATACTCCAAAACTAATAATAAAAAGTGTCCAGAGATAGTCTGGAGACTATTTTTTGATTATTTTTGTACCTTTGTGGGGTATTTGGGGGGTATTTTCTTATTTTTCGTCGAAAATCCCCCTGTACGGGGACACGCCCACCCTTCATGCCAGCGTGTAAGAACGTGTATGATGACCCCCTGGGGGGCCCTCCGGGCCTGCCCCTGCCCCCGCGGCCGGGGAGGAGGTGCTCCCGGTGCTGCAGCGTGTGCGCGCGTGTGCTCCCAGGCCTCCCGTGCCGGGCCCTCCGCTGTGGCCGGATGCCCTCGCTGCTCCTCTCCTCTCGGGGGAGGACAGAACCCCCCACAGTGACACGTCGATTAGTGAATTGTCCGTTTTCGGTTCTCGAGAGGGCGCCGTGGCCGTTATTTTCCAGGCTTTCGCCCGCCAGGTTTGGGCCTCAGGTCGTTTTCACTAAACCACGTTTTACTAAAGGGGGGTCTGTCCATCCCCGATCCTCGCGCCTCCCGCCTCCTCCCCCGACACTCGCGCCCCGATTCCCCCTCGGTCGGGGGGTGGGCAGGCCTCCTGCCCCGACACGTCGATGGAGGAGTTGGCCGTGTTCGGTTCGCGAGAGG